CCCCGACTGCAATAAAAAAATGGTAAGGGGGGGGCGGGACACATTTTCATGGAGCTCCGAGTAAAACAAATGCTCTAGGCTGCTAGATATGTCCCTGGTTCTTCTGCTGGGTCTGGCTGTACACAGGGGTCAAGTCCTGGGAAAAAAAAGTGTGGGAACTCACCCAAGATCCACTCCCCCACCCCCCCCCCCCCAGAAAAATATATATTTCGCAGAAAATTCAGTGCAACATTTATTGTAAAGTGCCAGTTTACACAAACAACTGCAAAATTCACATGCAATAAACAAATATATATAGAACAGTTGAAATGAATTAAATTAGCTATGCAATAAACAAATGAATATAGAACAGTTCTAACAACTGTGATAAAGTGAATGGTGTTGTTTGGGAGGGAGTTAACTTGTTAGTCAAACTAACAGAATAATCACCACAATGGGTGATCTTTCCCTCGCAGGGAATTTCTAAAACAAATAGTGTATACAAACTAAACACACAGCCAATTAGAAAATATCCCACAAACTGGAATAACGTTGCCCTTGCCGTGCAAGATTATCAACTTTTCGAGATTTAGTATCATCTGCGCTGCGATGTGTGGTCAGCCATTTTGTGACGTATGGTAAAGGATCCCATAAATGCACTGGAGGCCCAATGAGACTTATAAACAAAAGAGAAGACAGGCGTTCAATGCCAAGCCCACTCCTAAAGGGTGACATCACCAAATTCATTGTACTGAAGCCCCTTTCACAATCACCGGATGTCACTGGAAGACTGTTAACTGCTGTCACCACTGGTTTTAGATTTTCGGGAATCTCTGCACCACCATTATCAATGTAGTCTCTGAAACCTTCACATATGGATGCATAGCTGAGACGGAATCTTTTGCACAGCTGCTCCAGCTTCGCTTCACCTTCAAACCACGGACTGTCCACATTGATTGGCCAGCGCTGTGAATTTAGGATGTCAATTTCAGAGACAAGAGTTTCAAATTCACCTGACTGTGATGAAGCTGCAGGTCTGTTGCTCGCAGTTAAAGAAAAGAGTCTGGAGCGTAAATTATCCACCAAACTTTGATAAAATTGAGGGAGATTTATCCTCACTTGGCCTTTTGTACTCTCTGGATTGATGGTCACACCTTTGAAATTCCCTTTCTCCAGCGATTCCATTACTTCTTTCAGATGTTTGCCAGGCATGTCTTTCATTTTTTCAACGGCACGAACGGAGCGATTAATCAGCTGATAGGCTCGTGGAAGTGTGATGTCATCTCTTTGCAGTGCTTCAGATAACAGTCCCATTTCCTGAACAGCATCCGCAACCCCTGCAAGGTTTAACAAATAATCTACTGATGTCAAGACCTTGTTAAGGCCACTAAATACAGATTTCTGCTTACTGTTATTAGCTGAACTTAAGCTTGCTTTCAAGAAATGACTGTGTAGGCAGGATATGACTCCCAAACTGCTCGTATAGCTCTCTGGCTTGAAGCAACCCATCTAACTGAAAAAACTTTTCCAATTTTAAGAATTTGTACTTCTAATTCTTTTGCACATTCTGAGAGCTCTGCCAGATTTTTTGGTGACTGATGATACACAGCATACAACTTCTCAAAAAATGATGTTACATGATGAAGACCAGGAATAGAATCAATTGTATCTGAAATGCACAATTCAAGCCTATGACACAAGCAGTGCCATTTCACAATCTTTGGATATTTTTGACTGAGTCGTTCCAGAACACCCAACTTTCTTCCAAGCATTACACTTGCACCCCAATCCAGTTCTCGGCAAGAAAGTCATTACTGAACCCAAATTTAGAAAGACAAGCTAGAAGAGTGGCTTCAATAGACTGTGCATCTGCTTTAGGCAAATCAAGCAAATCAAGAAAGAAAGTGACTGGGTCTTTTCCGTTAACAGAGGCACGAATATAAACTATTAACACTGAATGGGTAGAAACTGTTGTAGACTCATCAATATAAACAGAAATTTTTGGAGCCTGCTCAACAATTGCTTTGCAAAGCTTTTTTCTCATTTCACTAGCAATGCAATCTATTATTTGTGCTGCTGTGTACTCACTATGGAGAATACATCCTAAGTCAGCTCCATTTGCAACCTGCAAGCTGATAAGATCTCTGAAGTCTGTGAAAGGGCGATTTTTTTTCGCACAAAAGTAGGCAGTGCGAAATACCTTAGTAGTGGACGCAAACTTATGCTTCTGCTGTTCAGCAATATTGGATTGTAGAATCTCCTTTCTGGATACTGCTTGGATATCTCCTGCCTTTACATGTGCTTCTGAAATCTTATGTATGTGGATTTTTTTACGTAGTGAGGTCAACATATCTTTTTTTGTTTTGCCATATGGTGTAATTGTACCAGTGGTCCATTCTTTAGAAATGGATACACACTGTGAAACAGACACTCCAAGGTGTTTAACCTCGCGACACACTTTGCACCCTAAAAGACCATTGTCTACAAACAGCCAAGGGTACTTTTTTTTAAATTCTAGCCACTGATTCTGGTCCCAACATTCTGGAAGAATGTTATCACTGACATCGGCATCTTGAGCCACATCAGTAACCATGTCCACTACAGCCGATTCACTGACTGATGTAGTTTCTGCAGCGGACACCGCCTGCTGAAGCAAAGGCTCAGACTGAGTGGAGCAACTTGCAGAATCATCATGTGATTTTTTATTGGATGCCTTCGTGAAGAAATCCGTAATGCTGCTTTTTCATTTGCTCATTTCTGTACAAATAAAAACTATTTTAAAAAAATGGTGTAAAATCATTTTCTGATTAAAAAATAAAATTCTGATAAAAAGACCTCTTTAATTAAAGGACCACTATAGTGCCAGGAAAACATACTCGTTTTCCTGGCACTATAGTGCCCTGAGGGTGCCCCCACCCTCAGGGTCCCACTCCCGCCCGGCTCTGGAAGGGGGAAAAGGGTTTAAACTTGCCTTTTTCCAGCGCTGGGCGGAGAGCTCTCCTCCTTCTCTCCTCCTCCGTTCCGCGCCGTCGGCTTAATGCGCACGCATTCAGCCGGTCACATAGGAAAGCATTTACAATGCTTTCCTATGGACGCTGGTGTGCTCTCACTGTGAAAATCACAATGAGAAGCACGCAAACGCCTCTAGTGGCTGTCAATGAGACAGCCGCTAGAGGCTTTGGGGGAAGGCTTAACCCATTAATAAACATAGCAGTTTCTCTGAAACTACTATGTTTATAAAAAAAATGGGTTAACCCTAGCTGGACCTGGCACCCAGACCACTTCATTAAGCTGAAGTGGTCTGGGTGCCTAGAGTGGTCCTTTAAAGAATTCCCCATCGTTTTGTTATTACTTCTTATTGTGAAAAACTCTTTTGTCTCTGGTGGCAGTGGTGGGGGTGGCCCAGTGACTGTGAGGTGTAGGGTAAGGCACAAATCAGCCCAATTGTATGAAATAAAATGAATCATTATTCTAAAAATTATTTTTAAAAAAAATGATCTAACAATTAGTCTCATATATTGTTCTCCAGTCCAGTGGATGTGACACAGATCTCAGTTATTTTACATATGGTTTGTGATTCTGTTTGCCACCCTTTAGTGACTGTGTTTTTAAGCCCTTAAGGACTGAGCCAAATGTACACGTTGTGACCAAAACAAAATGTAAACAAAACCTGGCATTTGCGCTACATGTCTGTTCAGGTGTAATTCGCCTCTTCATATTATGTGCACCTACACTTATTATAGATCATTTTTTCAGGGGAAACAGGGCTTTCATTTAACAAATATTTAGGTATGAAACATAATTTAATATGAATAAAATATAAACAAATTTTAAAACAAATCTTCTACGTGACATTTTAACTGTGTCATAATACTGTTTGCTTTTACTGCAATAATACACACATATTTAAGCGATGTTTCACATGTAAAACAGTACCCCCATGTACAGGTTTTATGGTGTTTTGGGCAGTTACAGGGTCAAATATAGCATGTTAAATTTTTCAGTTTTTTCACATTGAAATTCACAGGAATAAGATTTACCCCCATGGTGGCATACCATTTGCAAAAGTAGACAACCCAAGGTATTGCAATGGGGTATGTCCAGTCTTTTTTAGTAACTGTGACTAAGTGGCTACTAAATAAGTCTGAACATACCACATACCTAGGGTTGTCTACTATTGCAAATGGTATGCCTTCATGGGGGTAATTTTCATTCTTAAAAGGCAACATAACCAACCTGGCAAATTTCAATTAGAAAAAAACTGAAACGCAAGCCTTATATTTGACTCTGTAACTTTTGAAAACCCCATAAAACCTGTACATGAGTGGTACTGTTATACACGGGAGACTTCGCTGAACACAAATATTAGTGTTTAAAAACAGTAAAATGTATTACAACAATTATATCATCCGTGTAAGTGCTATTTGTATGTGAAAAATGCAAAAAAATTCACTTTCACTGACGATATCATCACTGTAATACATTTTACTGTTTTGAAACACTAATATTTGTGTTCAGCAAAGTTTTCCGAGTAAAACAGTAACCCCCATGTACAGGTTTTAGGGTGTCTTGGAAAGTTACAGGGTTAAATATAGTGCTAGCAAATTAAATTCCCTGGATTTCGGCCTGGGTTGTCCGGCAGGTCCCACAAATTGTAATTAATAAAAATACCTAATTATGTAAAATTATTACATAAATATATACGTAGAATTATTTTATATATATACACACGTGTGTATATATATATATCTATATATAATTTTTAAAAATTGTTTTTATTTATATATAGGTATATATATATATATATATATAGTTATGTATATAGATGTATATATTTTGTTCTACGTGTATTTTGATAGCAATATATATTAATTTTAAATTTTATTTTTTAATTTTATTTTTTAACGTATTTACATATTTATTTTATATTATTTATAAATATATATAATGAAAATTATATATATATTTAATCAATATCATTGTACATGTACTTTGATATATATAATTATATATATATATATATATATTAATATCAAAATACACTTAGACATGGATGGTTTGGGCGTTCTATGCCGCCCTCCGGCATTTAGAGCTGCTTCCCTAAGGACAGCATAGAACGCCCGCCGTCCTTAAGGGGTTAAACAAATGTGGTGATATTAGGGTTATTTGATTTATTTTTACACTAGCCCCCCACCCCCTCCATCCACCCTTCTCCAACCACCCAGCCCTCATCTCCATCCACCATCCCCCCCTCTCCAACCACTCAGCCCCCTTCTTCAACCACCCAGCCCCCATCTCCATTTACCCTACCCCCCTCTCCAACCACTCAGCCCCCATCTCCATTTACCCTACCCCCCTCTCCAACCACTCAGCCCTCTCTCTCCAACCACCCAGCCCCCATCTCCATTTACCCTACCCCCCTCTCCAATTACTCAGCCCCCCTCTTCAACCACCCAGCCCCCATCTTCATCCACCTTACCCCCCTCTCCAATTACTCAGCCCCCCTCTTCAACCACCCAGCCCCCATCATCATCCACCCTACCCCCCTCTCCAATTACTCAGCCCCCCTCTTCAACCACCCAGCCCCCATCTCCATTTACCCTACCCCCCTCTCCAATTACTCAGCCCCCATCTCCATTTACCCTACCCCCCTCTCCAATTACTCAGCCCCCCTCTTCAACCACCCAGCCCCCATCATGTACTTACTTTTCTGAAGACTCAGGGGTGCTGGCTGGCTTGGTCTCAGGGGTGCTCCCTCCTTCTCACCGTCACGGTTGCCGACACGATACGTGACTCCGCCTCCGCGTGATGTCACAAAACTCCGCGTACGCAAAGGGCAGTGGAGGTCGGAGGAGGAGCAACCCGGAAGTACGTCCTCCACTCCTGAGTCCTGACTCCTTCACTATGCGATGCTGCTCGCTCGCATAGTGAAGGCTCTGCTCAGGAGGAGCACCGGCTGGGCTGCCCTGGTCCTGCAGGAGCAAAGGGAACGGCGTTCCTGCCATGGAAAAAGTGCAGGAACGCCGTTCCCACCGTTCCTGCAGGACTCGAGCCCTGATATTACCTCTCACGACAAGACAGAACTCTCTCCTGGCATATTGTGTAGTCGATCCTCACCTACAGACTATGGGGAGAAAAACTGAAAAACACTGTCTGGATCCAAGTTCCTGAGGGACTTGGACAGGGAATTGCTTAGGCTTCTGGGAACTCCCCCAACGTGTTTGAATGGTCACAACATATGTTCCTTCAGTGATAATCCTTCCATTTGCTGACTAAGCTATTAAGAGAAAAAGACAAAGTTCTACAAATGTGGAATCCAGCACCTGTTGGTGGACCAGAATGATAAGACCGACACCATCTCATCTATAGCTGATACTCCCCCTCTCTGCAAACGTTGGGACTCTCAATGTTGGGACTCTCATTGTTGCCAAAGGAGCGCCACCACTGGCACTTTTATTCCCTTTGTACTGGGACACAGCATGTCTGTGGCAGAGATAGGCCCTCCGTGATGTATTTAACTTCTCTATAATTATACTCAATATATTTAATCTGGCTCTGTATGCTTCAATTAGGCTTTAGTTCTGCAAACTCTACCCCTCCATCTACCTCTTCTTATAAGCAGTGTACTGCCTTCATAGATACCTTGTGTCACTCTTGGGCGCAGCACACTGGCTGACTTTTGCCACCTTTTCACTTTTCAGTTTAGGTAACAGGCGTATATGGGCTGTCCATTTTTATCGCTGCTTCTGCTGTCTTATTATGCAGCCATTTGTGTAACTAAAAATGAAAATGTGGTTATTTTGTCTATTTGTGTTTATATCGTTAGTAATTTGCTGCACCACTTTAAAAAATAAAGAATTACAACATAACAATTATATATCTCAAATCCTAAGGAACACATTAGGTACAACTCAGCTAGTTTCTCTTTCAAAAGTGAAGATACCACCAAGATACCATAACTGAGAAGAAGAAGTAGGAACATCATTGTGTTGTATTAGGCAAAACATTCATGATTTACGCACAAGACAGCAATGTGTGGTATGGTGAAGTAATTGTAAACTTTTGTCTAAAATTGAAGAGCTGAAAACAAAATATGACTTAGGAAAGTTGAAGTTTTTTTTTCTAATTATCAGCATTGATATAAATTGATTACCAGCTCACCAAAATAGACGTCTTATTGAATAAATAACTAATAATGAACTTACTAAGGTTTAATTTGCAAGGGATTTGAGTCAATTTAATTTCAAGTCCATTATGCTGCATTTATTAAAAAAAAAAAACAACCTTTATTTTCATGCTTGAAGATTTCTCTGCTTTATATTTAAAGAACATCACACTTTTTAATGAGTATTTTAATAGATAAAATTACTCTTATTATCCTTAGTTTTGTTTTTAGTTAATCAAAGCCACTGCACACAAAATACATGTAGGTGTTTGATATAAAATTGTTTCAGTACACCATTTGTTTGAAACTGAATATTTTTCTTTTTTTCTTGATTGTTATCCTACATGTTTAATTTCTAAGTGAATGGATTCTGTTATATTTTCAGATATTATCCTGAATGCAATGTAATTATGCTAATTCACTTCCAT